GGTGAGAACCCGGCGTGCTCCGTCCCGGCTTTGTAGGGATGCGAGGTCAATGGTCTAACGACTACGGCATGCACGACTATGAGTACCCCCCCCCCCCCCCTCCCCACAAGACAACGTCTGGTGGTCCTTTGTTTACCGGTCACCATAGGCCCATAGCACAAGGACCTGCTCTCAGATAACCGTAGTAGGACTGTGGTAGATACGACACACACACCGACACAGAGCAGAAGCCAGAATATGTTCACCGGGATGTGTTATCTTGCGTCGCATACGGTAGGTCTGTTCAAACGAACTCACGTCAGGCGCGCCGAAATGACTCCTCTCGTTGAGCGCCTCCAGGAGCTGTGGCCCTTTTAGCAGCCCCGAATCCCCGTCCCCAGCGACGGCCACACACGCCTCCGCAATAGCGGGGAGAATCGATTGGTACTGAAAGCAGAGGGTTCGGGGCGTGGCAGGGGCGTTACAATGTCGACGTTTGTCTTCTTGTACCCTGGACATGGACATTTTTTTGTAAAGCGTTGTTTTATAAAGCGTTGTAGTTGGCGTTCTGGGCAAGGGGACGTAGCCGAATAGCCCTAAATGCCTAACTCCTCCCACTTCCTTCAACCCCTACCGGTTTCCCACTGAACTGCTGCCGAAGAAGTGTTTCGGTGCTAACCGCCGAGCGACGGTTGTTTACATCATCCTTGTGGGAATTACTTGAAGCACGCGAGGAATCGAGGATTCGTTGCCAGCTGTAAACTGCACAAGGGTACAAACGTACACACGGGGATTCCACACAGGATTTGTATTTCAAATCTTTGGGTATTCAGATGATCAAGATGATGCGCATGTACCTCAGGGAATTTTTAATTTTGAACTACGGCAGCACCAGTTATGAAGCTGACGACAACATGCATTTCGTCGCCGGGGTAATGGGTCTCAGCTCACGTGTAAACTTGCATCAAACGGAGTGTTGCAGAACCACATATCTTGAGCGCGGCAAGCTACATGTATACCAGCGCACACATGCCGCCCTTCGCAGCCAAACACGTCGTTGTTACTTCGTTGCCTCCTTGCTTGGTGTGTAGACTATTGTAACCCATGAACATAACCTCAGTCAGGTGCACATAACCTCAGCCATGGTGGTGAAATGCCTCACCTCCCTTACTCCAGCATACACCCTAGCAAGCGTCAGCGTGGGGTCTTCCATGACATCCCTCTCCACCTCTGCCACGCGCTCAGCGTACTCGTCCAACAACTCGCGCACGCCGAGCTTGAAAGCGCGAAGATACAAGCCGGCGTGCTGCTGCTGCTGCTGCTCCGCTCCGGACACCGTGGTGCCACCGCCCTCAGCCCACTTGAGGGCTTGCGGCCTCACAAAGTTCCTCAGGTCACGATATATACTTCCCATGCCTACCACTCTGTTGATGGCTTCTCGCTCGGTGGCTGTAAGGAACGTGATGGTGTCTGGGACGCGAAAGGTGCCTCCCGCCGCCGACGCTCGTGCCGGATTTGTGGAAAGGCGCGAGCTGGTCTTGGTGCGAAGGAGCGAGTTGGTGGGTTCTGCCTGTACAACCGCCCCAGGGTGGCCAAGAAGTGCAAGTATGACCTCGTGCAACATAATACTGCTCCTCCGTTTGTCTTCCTCTATGGCCTCTTTGCCGACTCAGATAGTCGTAATCGACAACAACGGGCTGCGCCTTGCACGGCTGTGCCTTGATGCTGTGAGCTGCTCCTGTGATTTAAAAATCGCAAGATTGCGCCGCCATTTTTCAAAGAGTCCAGACGCGATGATTTTGGAGGTAGCCATGTGGCCATGTGGCCATGTTTGCGGGGCCAGGTGATTCTTGGTTGCGCCGCGTGACCGAGGCAACGAGGTTACGAGGTTACAGCAGTGTTTGCAGTGCATGTTCATCGTCGCGTCGGGCACGAATGAATAATGAAGGCCACTTTGATCGCGTTTGGGACGCGAGGAGATGTCCAGCCGCTTGTTCTCCTTGCTGCAGGGATGGCAGCGCGGTCCGACTTATGGAACGCGGTCGTGTTGGTTACCCACGACGGACACCGTGAGTTCGTGCGGTCTCTGCTGGGAGGCCAAGCCGTCGCTGTCGCTGCCGTGGATTCACCACCTGTCCTCTGGAAAGGTCAGCTCTTGTAGCCGCATTGATACATGTTTTCGATTCCTGACCGATACGAAATCTCGCTGTTTAGACCGAAGTTTTCATTCAACAGTTGTTTGCTGCGTCGTTCCCTCGCCCTTTCGTTGAAGGGACGCCGGGATCCGACGCTGCCGAAACAAGGGCAAACCTCGCACAGCAGAACGGCTGCATCGAGGCATGTCAGGGAGCAAACCTGGTCATCTTCAATATGTTCGCCCTTGAAGGATATCACGTCAGCGAAGCACTTCGTGTAAGCCAGAAGCTTGTTGCGCAGGCAGCTCTCGACAAACTTGTATGAAGCATGGTGCGTTGGCGACTGCCCGTCCATTAGGCGGGACGGCCGCCTGGTGGTGAAATCGCCACCCGCCCATCAGGCGGGACGACGGTCGGGAGGTATTGTCTGGGACAAAATACTTCACATGTATTTTAGGTCCAAGGTCACGTAAATAAATATATTAGTGCGAAAGACCGAGTTGGCAACATGCAGCAGGGTCCTACTGCTGTAACATCTCGTCGTTCCTAGCCTCCGCAGTTGCTCCGAGGAAGAAGAAAGGTTCCTCTGCCCGCTTAGGACGCATGGGCAACATCAAGATGTGAATAGCGCGTAGCTCTCTTGAGCAAGCTCGGGGATGATCGAACCACTGTTCGAGAGGAAAAACATCGAAAGCTACGTTAGTCAACCCCCCGTTCGAGTTACGATAGTAACCATCATGTGCTGCTGACTGGCCGCCCCTAGCAGACGCCATATTTACGACTGTCGTTGCCCATGCACCGTACTCCCTCCTACGTACGTGCGTTGTACGCTTCACTCTCCCCATGCAGATCCCCAGCGCTGTGTGCCACCCTTACTTGATGACGGCTTCGCCTATGCCAAGCTCCTTCCCGAAGAGGCTGAGGAGGACCTTTCCCTGCTTGTATCGCGGTCTTACCCGAGTCCCAAACAAACCAAGGTTAGCGCACAAAGCAGGTTGCGAAGGTGCTGCTACCGCTCCCACTAGCCGCAGCGAGGAGAAAAGTGAGCTGAGCCAGGCAGCTGAAACAAGAATGGTGCGTTTGGAGACCGCTTGGGACCACGTGGAGCATTGGATGTGGCCATTGTTCACGAACAAGTGGGCCATTTTCCGGGAACGCTTAGGGCTTACCCCTTGCCCTCTGCAAGAGAACCTAGAGGCGCAACCTTCGGAGCCACGGAGAAAGGGCTTAGCGGTAGCCGACAACGGTTGCCTGAGTTCCTTGAGGATGATCGACCCGACAAAACTGCCGTTGGTACTGTACCTTTTCTCGCCCCTCGTAGTGGATGCGTCACCTTATTGGCCCGAGAGCGTACGGGTCTGTGGATATCTGTTCCCTTCACCAGCTTCAAGGACGCACCCAAAGGGCCGCCGAGCAGGGCTACGAAATGCAGACCACGGACAAGAACCCACCCAATCCTCGACCGAGCAACAGCTCGATCCAACACCTTCTTTTGATCCCAATAAGCTGGAAGGGGAGCACGTTCCCGAAAGTGAAAACAGCAATGCCGCATTGGAGGAACGCCTGGGCATTCCGCCAAGCGTGGAGGATTTTTTGTCCGTGCGAGAGGATCGGCCAATATACGTTGGTTTTGGTTCGATGTGGGGTATGTGTGTGCCGGGGTATCGACTAGCCTTCGCCCTTCGAGTGCTGCTGCTCGGGGCGAGGCAGGCAGGCGGGAGGTGCCTGGTAAATTTGCCCCAACTGCCCACTGTTGAGAAAAAGGAAACCTTCGATGACGCAGGGGGGCCGAGCGAGAGTCAGCTTGGAGAGCTCGAATCCGCCACCGACTGGCTTTGTGAGTTCGCAGCGTCTGCAGGTCGAGATAATCTCCTGGTGAGTACACGAGACTTGAGGTTAACGTCATGCGGCGAACGAAAGATAAACGAACGCGTCGCACCCAGCTGCTAGCGCGTTTCGCCGGTAATTTTTTCATCGCTGGAGACGATGAACCCGAGATAAATGCGGCATGTACCCCTTCGGGTCTTCCTCTAATTGCATTATGTTTTGGGTGGCTCCATATTTTGGTGTTCCTGGGGGAGGTTATGGAACGTCTACTGTGTTTGACCCTTCCTACGATCGTCTTGCAAAACGGGAGGCTGTGAAGACTTCCATGCTGAATGTTCCTTGGTACCGGTCTCCCCTTGGCGAATAATCCGAAAGTTGTGTGTACCGACGATGCCGATAGTACGTTTTCTGTGAACACGACTTTGGGTGGGTTGCGCCTGATGATATTGCTGCTGCTGCTGCTGCTGGTACTGCTCCTTCCAGGTCCATCACGGGCCTCTTGATCATAGCTGTTTTCTGTCACGATGTTCGTTGGCGATTCACCACGGAGGAAGCGGGACGACGGCCGCCGTGCTCAGGGCTGGAATTCCACATGGTAATTTTCCTTAATACCATTCACGTGCTATCGATCACATCTATCAGCGAACACATCTTACTGTATGTTCTTCCGCATGTGTTCTTGGCCCGAACTACGGTATCAGTTGGAACGGAAGAGTTGGCCATCGCAGGTGAACCGACGGAACAGATGAAGCTGAGAAGCAACATGAGCATCCCTGGTTAAATTGGTCTTGAGGCGGTTGACTTCCAGTCACCACTTCCCCCCCCC